TTCACGAACGGGAAGCGTTCAAATTCCCCTCAGCACTTCTCGCTCCAAAGCTGTACATTACTGTTTCGTGTTGCACTCCACTGTCGGGCAAACGAGAACCTATACCGAGACCCACACTTCAAAGATCTTATTCGCTGGACGCCCGAGCGTGTGAGGGGTGCTCGGATTGGCACGGCGCCAGCGCAACCCACCCCCCCCCCTAATACGCCCCCTGTTGTTGAAGAGGGTAAACGTAATAACAGGTAAGGAAAGCTGGCGCCGAGTTAAACCTAGCCTACCGGTCATGCCCAATCACCCATAGCGAACGAAGCAGCCCTTCGATCCACCTTTAACTTCACTTTCTATCATATTCTCGCTAACGATGATTGCTAGCAAAGAAATCCACTGAATTCTCACATGTACGGTAGCAAGACCTTGTCTGTCCACATAACTTCAAAAGGAAATTTATAACAAAGAATAGGATCTAACAAAATCATAACAATTTCTCAACATACAACCACATTTGTGTACAGTATGAGATGAGAGGCACATACGAGCGAACAGCGGGTATGAACCGCTAGAAATATTCCAAATCTCTGAGATGCGTCAAGCGTGGCTACTTATTTCACGAACTTTGCGGCAGCTGCTTTTTTGAGGGGGTATTTTCACTTTGAAAAATTGTAATCATGTCTTTGTTCAGCACAAGACACAGTATGGCAGTTGTATTAAAATACTTCACGAATAACCCCTCCTACAATGAAGTATGCAGCCACGCCTACCGCGCCTCAGAGATGTGCAGTGTCCGTGCAAACAGACGGATATAGGACTCTTTCATTCATTCAACCCTAGGAAGTAGAGCTGAGCGTTCTGAGGCCTGATTTGCATTTCATACGTTGAGTTTTCCTTGAAGACTGCCACGTATAATGTCCACCAGCGCATCGAACTCTTTCACTCTTTCGGTATCCATGTCGGCTTCCTTAAAACAGTGGCAATAATGTGATCCAATGGTTAGCATATCTTCTATGATGGCTGCAGATTCTGCAGCGAACGTGTTGGAAAGCTGACAAGTGCACAGCCAACGAGCTTTAAAGGATGAAGGGGTACCGGACTTGCCTAAGAGGTCTACACACCTGCTGCCAGCCTCTTGCAATCAGTTATTTCCAATGAAGTGTTCTAAACTATGTTTTTATAATCAAGAAAGAATAAACGCGGCACAACATCATAAACAAGGGTCGAACTGATGCAGAAAACGAAGCTCGCCGTGTGGACAATCATCACAAATGTCTGCTCTGTCACCCGAAACCGTGTGCCCTTTTTGGATTTGAAAATTTTTACCCCATCTCAGCTGCTATAGCAAACATTACTGGATTTCTATCCCGAGTTACCTAGAATTTGGATATTTTGAGACAACCGAATCATGGAGAAAATGCTGAGACTCCTAACGCACTAACCTTCTCATCTCGTACAGCAGCAGTGTACTCTCCCAGTAAGGTAGTGTACTGAACATAATGCTGCTCTTCTAATAAAGAAGCTTGTTCTTTCGAAAGGCTGCGGATTTGCGACATTATTTGCTCCTGGACATATAACCACACTTGCTCAAATCAGAAAATTGGAAGGGTACACTCGAAGAACTAGTGGAAACCTTTGGAGCAACACACTATTCAAGAAAATCTCACCGCATCGCCCATTCCGATCGTCATTTGCCTCACTGTGTTCCTCTTCGGGCTCCATAAAGCAGCACGGTATTCTATGCTATAAAATCGATCATTTAATACCCTTGGTTGTACAGAGGGTTGTCGGTTGTGAGATCAACGTTACGGCTACGTTCACAATCTAGCCAGTATTTTCTCACCGGTTGACGTACTGAAAAAGGTCTACGCTAAACCAGTCACTCATGTCCTGGTGCGAAAGCCGCGCACGCGAGACCATTTGTGACGTCGCCGCTACGTGGATCTCCTAACCGTTCACCACGACAAAGGGATGACATCTTTCCGTTACATAAGTTACCTGTCCCCGATAGCTGAGTTCAGATATGATCCAATTAGCAGCGTTTTTGCGAAGTTGACATCGCCCAAAGAGTACTGTTCATAGTGCACCAACAGATCTTCAAAGCTGAAAATGTTAGAAATGAATCAGCTACTATTCTACTTCACAAATGTTGGATTAAATGGCAAAAATGGGCCAAACACGGCTTTTCCATGCATTTCGCAAAAATCGAACACTAAAACGTGAATGAACCCACAAAGGCATGAACGCATCCAGACCAGCGACACGACTATCCATCCGAAGGCAAAGACGACCTTCGATCGCCGCCTGAAGAAATGCACTTCACCACCTCGCCGACAGAAAAATCTAATGGTCTTACCTTTTGAACATAACCACTTAGAATACGCGAATAGCACGACGCGATCACATCATCGGCCAATACTTCCGGACCTGAATAACTAAGCGTCTGCCAAGTTCAGCTATAGAAGTACAGAAATATTCCTCACCGATCAATAAAACTTCCGCTAAACGAACGTAAACGTCATTAGGCTCTGCAAACGCCAGAAAAGCTGTTAGCCTTTCGTCATGCAATAGAAGGGTCCATAATAGGGCAAGGCGAACAATATCTGTATCATCTGCACAAACTTCGCTGAAATGATCCTGACTTAGGTCCAGAACTTGAGGAAATGTTGGGCCAAGAGTTTCTCTAGTAGCCTAGAGAGGCCGGCTTCACTTACGCCTCCTCTGCTTATGTACAAGCGTCCAGCAACTCGACGTAACAGGAACTAATGTCACCACCAGCCCGTCGACTCAAAGGTTAAACTCCATCGCTGAATTGGAAAAAAACGTTGTTAACCCAGACTTCTTCAAAAATCGGAACTCTTTTTTGGCTGTGGTGGATAACATAGGTGAAGGTAACATACACTTCTTCGAGATAAAGCTCCTTGATGTTGTCGATTCGTGATCGCGCAAGTTCCAGGAGAGGGTCTGCACGGCTGAAATCAATAATTTTATCAGCACACAGGGATGGAAGGGTGGTATAACGCTTGTTTTTAAAAAAAATCTGGATCGAAAACGTCAGTAAGACAACTCATTCAGAAAGCCCTTTCTAGTGCATGTGAGGAGGAGGAGAAGGAATCGACGTGGCAGTCATCGCCCTAGTTCGGTGTCGGCCTTTCAGATAAGGGTTGTGCGTCACTGAGTCGCAGACTATCACCACGAGGGGAAATTCCTAATGTTAAGGTTTGCCTAGTCTCTATTTTCTGTAGGAACTGAAGATATTTGGAAAGCAGCACAAGGAAAAATTTTCATGGCTGATGAAGTGATTGCCCAGAAAAAGTCTTTGTCGTCAACATGGATGGGCGGGTTGCTCAATCCTTTGCACACCCACATGAATGCTGCTAAGCGTTATGCTGACCGTTGCTCAAGCGCCAAGCACAGCATCGTTGCATAGTAATCCTATATAGTGATTCCATTGGAGTGCCTCATATCTGCCCGCTCGGCCATCAAACTTGGCCCGACAGGAAAGCAGGCGGAAAAGAAATTCCTGGGCTGAGTGTGTCTTTTCGCGGTGATTTCCGTTCGTTTTTTTTGTATGGTTATATTACCACCCCTTCTCTCTCGCCTCTCTCTCTCCCCGCTTCGATTGGGGGCCGTCAACGAGTCCTAAACAACAAATGAACCATTCGTGATAGATTATTGTGCTGGTAGCTTGATTGGTGATGGCACTCCCTCCCTCCCCTTCCTCCTCACCTGCGTTGACGTCCAAGGAATGACTGGAAAAATACTTGGAATAAGTGGTGTATATAATCCTAAGGAATTTAAAAAGGCATTGTGGAGGATGGTAGATAGAATGGCGATAGGAGTCGTAACTAAAAAGAGAGTCTACGGGCGGGAGGGGGGGGTCATGTGATACGTGACCCGCCAGCCACACAGCCACAGACAAAAAACCCACCAACTTCACCTGCCCCCCCCGCACATTTCAATGCTCGGTAACGCCATGATGCAATCAAGAGAATCATGGTAGCAAACTGAACAATTTACAAGCGTAAATATTGTATTTCACGGGGTAGCGCATTAAAAAGACTCTAAGACTTAAAGCCTCTGGAACATTTTTACAGATCTGGTGATTTTTTTGAGGCCCTTTCATACGTGGAGGAGCTATAGTAATTAGGGCACGTCCTTCCGCTCGGAGAATTTACTGCAAAAAAAAACACAACGCTCTCAAGAGTTCCTCCTATGGTTTGACCCCCTTCCCCACCATACTAACCATCTTCGCAATAAATTTCCTTGATTTTCTACCTCTTTTTGGGAATAACTCTCCAGTTTTTTCCTTTCCGAATTGCCTCAAAAAATTATGGTCGAGCATGTTGAGCGGGTGATATATAGCGCCAGTCAAACGGGAAAAACCAAGGAAAGTCAACAAACAAGAACTTTCTCCTCAATGGCTGACACGAGCTCCCTCGTTGTGCATCCCAACGTACGACGGCTGTCATAGTAAAGACCCTGGTAGGGAGCAGCATCCGCCGGAAAATTCGCGAAATGGCCACAAGGCATCATTCAAAGTCTCTCTCACCACGAGAATCAAAGGCATTCTCTCGTCTCATCTCTGGTTGACGCTTCGAGGAAATAATAATTGATTAGCAAAGAGGTACCGACTGAAGGAGGGAGAAACCACCTTGTTGTAGCTATTTTGCAACTGTCAAATAATTTCACGGCATTCTTTTGTTGACGAGGAGCAACACTACGCAAGCATTTCGTAGTAAAGTCTAGTTGGAAGGCATCCTGTAAGAAATATAGATGTTCATCAGAATGTAAAATACAACAGTGTCTATAATCGAAAAATACTTACAGTCGCAAGCCTATTGTATTTTTCTTGATCGCTTCGATCGGCAAACTCTTCCAAAACCTCAAGCTGGTCAAGCATATCCTGCACAACAGGGGGTGGTGGTGGGGCTTCTGGTTGTGATTCCTTCAATTCCTCCGCAAACGGTGGTTTCAAAGGAACTGCAGTTGCACGAGATGCTTTGAACTTGGACACTGCAAGAATCGTTATCGAGACAAAGAATAAGTAGTGGTCGTTAAGATTGCCTCAAAACAACCTCTTGGCTTCGAGTCTGCTGCCTTCGACTTCTTCTTGTGTCGATCTTTTAAGAACGCGATGGTATTTTTGTCTAGAATGAAACATTCAGTATGAGTATAGATTGGAATCCTTGGGCGCTGTTCGGCTTGAGAGGAGCATTTTGCAGTTCGCTAGTTCCTATTGCTACTTTGTGCTAGTTAACAGTATACACTAGTGAGACATGTAAACTCCTGTCAAGACGCGAAAAGGGATGTGCTCACGAAGCCGAGCTGCACCTATTGCAGAGGTTTCTACCCTTTAATGCTCCACTTTTGAGATTCAGGAAATCTCATTTTGACTTACAAATTTTCTCTAGGGATAGTTCGATCGCTCACACGCAAATACATTTTCATGCAACGAGATCGCCTGGAGGAGCAAAAATTCATCAATTTCGTCGAAAACGAGTTCAGAGGGGTGGCAGGGTAAACATAGATCGAACCCTAGCTGGAGATGCCGGCTCCTGTAGCGTGATGGACATTTTCGAACTACTATTGTGTTTTTGCTCAAAGGGTAATACTGACTCCACGGTCGATTTCCAGACAAATTCACCTCTGTGCACGCAGTTCAATGAAAACTTAGCCTGGATTTCAAAAGGAGGGGCAATTTAGGGTAAATGGTTCCAAAGACTCTCTCCTTTATAACGTACCTATTTTCTCAGCGATTTCCATCTTGAGTTCATTGATCTTCCCTTCATCAAGACTAGCCAGATATCTTAATCATAGACAGATTATCCCAGTTCGATTACACACAAAAGTAACCTGTGATAAATGAAAAAGCAGAAGTATGCCGGCCATAACATCCACACTGCAGCGACGCGAAGAATTTAGCTAGTTGATTAGGAATGCTATGCACTTTCAAGTAAAGTCAATCCGGTACTGGTACTGAAAAATGTGAATTCCACTTAAAGCAAAGCAGATAGTGGTGCGGATGCCGCGCGCGCGACATAATTCGCAAGATAACTCGTCGCAGAGTGGATCTCTTGAACTATACGCGAGCTTTCTCACTTGTCATTTTCCAGCTCGAAATTATCGTCTTCGCTAGGCACTGGTTCATCCGGTATCGAAGTAAGTTCGTCTGAAAACTATTTT